AAAAGATATGTTTCCTCCTGTAAAAAAGTATTCATGTACAATATTTATTGTCGGACCAGAAGGGCCTTGTTCAAATGCTAGGAAAGGGAGAAAGCACAGCCCCATGGTGGGAAAGGAGATGTCATAGAAAAGTATTATTTTTCTAGTAAACCAAATTCAACTGATTTAATAGGTCAAACATAGCAATGAACTTGGTAAGTTTAGTCAACCCATGTGTCAAAATATAATGCCATAATTCCACATGATTTCTGTTTTTCTTGCTTTCAAGAATGAAACAACAAGCTGGCTGTAGATGGGAACCAAGTTGGAGCCAGCCCCAAAGCCCTGTACCTGTGGCACCTGCACTGGCCCCAGAGCCCTGGGCCCAGATTGGCTTATTTTTCTGCAAACATGCAGTTATTATTTAAGCATTTCTTGAACACCAAAATAACCTAGGTCTAGTACCTAGAGATGTTAACATGTCAAATCATAGATATTCAAATGAAATAAAAATAGCCTCACTTAAAATTCACCTTCTTGGAGTTATATGCAATGAACTTGGGGCCCCTGCTCTGTGCTAACCCCATTTGCATCTCATTTCATTTTATCCTCACAGAAACCCTTGAAATTAGATGATGGGAAGCCTGTAATTCCCAGAGGAAGCAGCAGATTTAGAATTTAGTATCGGGTTTATTGAAATCCAAAGCACTGCCCTGAGCTGTATTCTCTTTTTAAGATGCTACTTTTTATATTGCATTTGAATGTTTTGAACATGGTTGTATATTCAAGTACCCCGTAAATATGAACTGCATAGAATTGCAAATATGCCAGGCTGTCTCAACTCTGCTACCTTCCCCTGGAGAGGCGTTCAAGATGGCACAGGCTCACACCTCCAGACATGATCCCCAGCTTTATCTCTTCCCAGACCATTGTACTGCATCCCAGCCACATCTGACCACTTGTTTCTGTGGCCTGAACACATTTCCCCATTCCCCCTTATCTATCTACCTGGCCTTGGCTTGGATGTCACAGAATCCCACCTGCAAACTCAGCTATGCAGAAACATTACTCTTCTCAGATCAACTTATTTTCTATTTGATTCCTCTTTCTACCAGCATGTAGGGAAATTAGTAGAAGTCAAGCAGGAATGACTGCATAATTCGCACGTTCCAGTGCACAATGAAAAATGCAAGCCCCTCATCTAAAAATTAAGAATTTCAAGATGACAACATAGGAGCATTGTTACACCAAACACCAGCCCCGTCTGCAAAAAGAACTGCATGACTGCATATCTCACATATCCATGAGGCCAGCCCTGTTGTCCATTTCAAACTCCTTTCATCTCTGTGGCTATGTCTAAATTTGGGATGGGGGTGTTGGAAGGTGGAGCTTACACAGTATACATTGAGAGCAAGAGATATCTAATCCTTGGTGTCTGCTTCCATGCTAAGATAGCCTTTCTTCTCGTCTCTCTATCAGTAGTCCAAGAGGCTGCCTCATTTTCATCCATGAGCCTTTCTTCCTTCTGCCAGTGCTGCTTCAGGGCCCATGGGAGGAGCTTTGAGTTGGCCTCCAACGTAAACACATCCCAGATCTTGAATACTCCAATCTGTCTAAGGGTATTACCACCATCAGCACTTCGCTTTGGGGGGAAAACATGGGACCCCCTGTTGTGAAGATGCTTACCCCGTCTCTCCACCTGTGCCACTCCCCAACCTGGAACATCCTGGCCCCTGGCCTCTGGGTCTAAGGTACCCAAGGCAGAAGCCAGGAAGTGATCCCCTCCTCTTTCTCTATCCTGCTTTTGGCATCCACTGACGTGTAGTATATCTGACCATAAAGTTGTCCCAAGGGAGAAGAAGTTATGAAGTCAGTGTGGGGACGGGAGGTGAGAGTGAAATACTGGGACGGAGAAAATTCATTATCCAGCCACACATATTATATCTCCAGAGCTGTCAAGAACATGTGTGTATGTGAGCCACCCACTGGGGAGTTAAACTTACCACTTCCTTAGCTACCCTATTCCACTTTTAGAAACATGTTTTATTACCTTAAATATCCCCTTTAATGTTTATAAAAATTAAAGCACACAAACGTGTACATATGCACACATGCATGCGCGCGCGCGCGCGTGCGCGCGCGCACACACACACACACACACACACAGAGCCAGGGGAATGACAGCCTTTTTCTTGACTGCAATTTATTCCCACTTCTGGAAGCAGGAAACTCATTCTGTCTTGATATAATTTCCATCTACAGGTACTCGAGTAACGTGGAATAATATGGAGAAATCGTATCATTTCTACCAAATGGTGATGAGGCTTCCAAACTTGAGTCACTAATCTAGTTATCACAACCCCCTTGCTTCTCCTTTAAACTATGCTCCTCATCCAAAATACACACAGAGTTAGGTTTCTCTCCCCCACCATCTTTACTGTCTCTCTTGTTTAGCATAAAACTTATCAATCCTTCAATTCTTAAATAATAATTAATATTTTTATTGATACATCAATATTAA